AACCAGCAGTGCCAAGTCCACCCCTAAACCATGTCTTTAGGTACCACATCTACATAGGTTTTAAATACTTTCAGGGATGATGATCCCACAACTTCCCTGGACAGCCTGTTCCAATGCTTGACAACCTTTTCAGCAAAGAAATTTTTCCTAATGTTCAATCTAAACTGTAATTAAATATTATATAGTTCTTCCTAATGATTGTTTTCATCATCATTTGACATTTATAGTGTCAAAAAGATTTGCTCTATTTGTCTCTTCAATAGAGACCAAGCACAGAGTAATACTCCAGATAGATTGTAGAGCATCCAGGTGCAGATTTTCATGAAACTCCAGGGAGACACCTCAGAGCTTTGTAAATGATATCTTCCAGGCTGTTATCCACTGAGAGCACTCTACACCTGCAACCAGGTTCTAGCTCCTTGTCTCTGGGGCTCATGCCCCTTTTCCTACAGTCCATGTTTTTTCCTTTTGAATGCCCTTCCTACTTACTTTCTCCCAGACTTGGTGTTAGTCACTTTCTAGGGTTCCCAACATCCTGCTATTTCAACACATCACTAAAGTTGGTTGCTGTAAGGGGACCAAGCCCTTTGCATATGCAATTGGGAGGACAGAGAAGTTACACGTTTTCTAAGGAAATTCATGTGCATATTTTCAGAAAGAGAAATTAATTCACTTGTAGGTACATAAAGTAGGCATAATGGGAATAGGCTGTTATTGCCCAGAATTAGCAGAAATTTTGGAAAAATCTGCTGCAAGATGTCTCAACAGCCTTCTGGTTAGGGCTAGAGGCAATGTGTTCACTACCCTCATTAAGACCGTCGTTATTTGTTGGCATAATAAATGTCTACTATTATTTATGGTAGCACTAATTTTCTATAAACATCACACATGTCCCATGATCCCTGTTTTATGCAAGCTTGATTTGGAAGACGGTTGAAATTTCAGGAAAAGCTTCTAGGAATTAATCTTCCCTAACCGCAGGCAGCAGAGGTGCAGCAGGAGGTGCGCCTCCGCCGCGCTGCGCGAGGTCTGCTCGCTCCAGGCTGCCTTTGTAGTTGAAAGCAGAAAAGTCAGCAGGTCTAGGGCGTGATTCATGTGACCTGTTTTAGAGAGGAGTTCTATCCCATTTCCATTGACTCCATGGACAGCCTAGATGATGAGCTCAGATATGTGTTTGTGCTGTGGATGTTAGCGTTTAATTAGAGGACAAGCTGGGATTGCAGTGGGATTTGTCGGTGATACCTGAAACTGAAACTTGTCAAATGATACATCATCAACAACAGGGCTCGCAGAAGTCTGGTTTCTCCCTGTCATGGTGCTTCTCCATCAGGGTGGGACCTCTCCCAGCCCTGGTTCCCACTTCTGCAGAACATCTGGCTCCACAAAGGTTATTTGTGATAATTTGTTTAAATTTCTTGTTCTAAGTCGACAAACAAGAAACACCATGCATGTTTTCCTGCAGGAAAAAGACTCCAGACTGTGAAGCTTCCCGTAGACAAAACAACTTCCTGCTGTTTTGGAGGAAAGGATTATTCAGAAATGTTTGTGACTTCTGCCAGTGATGGGATGGATAAAGAGTGGCTTTCACGGCAACCGCAGGCTGGTGGGATTTTCAAGGTGAATTATACTTTCTCCTTTCATTTTAGAAGGCTGTTGTTTCACTCCTGATTTTTTCAGGTAGCAGAACTCCAGTTGGCAGTGCTGGGAAGCGGGAAAAAGGCAGTTGTTAGAACATTGGTCATATATGTTAAGCTGCTGTTTGTATATTTTGTTCCTCTTGCAGAAAGTTAAACACATTTAGAGGTTTGAAGATACTTTGGGGTTTAAACTTTGTACCAATGCTGATAGTGCAAATTTTCGATGCCATCATCTCTTTATCCTTCTCCCTCTCCCAACACTGTTTGCATTTTCTATTTATGGAAAGGATGGGTAAATACTTACATATCTTAATCAGAGGCAGATAAAAGCATCTGCTTTTATTTACTTTCTAGTTAATTATCAGGAAGTTATCTCTTTAAAAAATTGTTCCACTGGGATTTGTTTTAAAGCCCTGCTCTTTGTGTGTTCATGCCGAAGGTTACATTGTGAACTGCAGAATTAAGGCTTAGCAGTATCTAAGAGAAGAGGCTTTTGGGGAATGGACTCTGGCCTGTGATTACTGAGCTTTAGAGAAAGAGCATGCATTGAAATTCCAGTCTGTGATGAGCTGATGTGTGCAAAATATAGTAGGATGTCAAGCTGGAGCACACAGTCCTTTTCTAAATTAAACATGTCTAGTTTTGTAAGGAAACCAACCACCTAATAATGGTGAATTATCACTCTAATTTTTTTTTCCTCTTTGTTTTAACAGATAACAGGACTGGGGGTGAAAGGAGTTCCACCATATCCATTTGCAGGTTAAATACACTCTTCAGAACGGATTACAGAGGGCTGGCGTAAGCAAGACAAGTCTGAAGGTTTTATTCTGGTGTTCAGCATCTTTTGCTTGGAAACCATAACCCCATTACAATCTTTCATCAGGAAAGGATTAAAAACTCCTGAAATACATGGAATATTTTAAAACAGATCTTTTTTCTCCCTTGAAACTTACTTTAAATATATGATGGTACTTTTTCTGCTGTGCTAAAAGGATTCTCATCCTAATAAGCTACTGTTGTAATTCTATTTTATGATTAAACAATATTTTAATTCATTTTTATTGAGTAGTCTTCTGTCTCATTTGCAACTTATGCTATATTTTACTGATTAAACTAGTTGTACTGTCTCTTTTGCATATTTTCAAAGTTCCTCATAAAATGCCTTTTGGTGGTCCTACTTCTCTTTTAACTGTAACTTCATTTGTCCTATGATGTTCTCAACAACTGAGACATTATTACCTCTCACTGCATCTGCAGTTTCCTTCTAACAGGCCTCAGCTGTAGCTGTGCTTAAATTAACCCTGGCTGGAATTTATCATGATCTCTCCCCGGTACCTGTTATCATGTTGCTCCTTTTGTTAAATACAAACCCAAAGTTTTGGAGTCAAGAACCATATGCTTTTCTATCCTTTGAAGATCTTGGCCTGTTTTGGGGACATCCATGATGACAGGAAAACATTGGGCATTCTTGGCTGTTGTGCATAAAGGACAACCTGCACAGACAAACCTCCTCCAGAACCAACCTCCCCCAGAGTACAGAGAGGCAAGGCAGGCCCACATGCCCAAAAAGCCACTGCTTCTACAAGTGTGAAGGAAAGGGAAGATCTATTGCAATTTCTTCACACCACCTGTTGTGAATGAAAACTTACTCACTGGATTGCATTTTTGCCTTTAATTTCAGGCCTGTATGTGCTGCAACAGCAGTGATGTATCTCAGTTGAATTTCATTCTGCAGAATTTTGCTCTTGGAATGTTACAGATTCCCATGTTAGTGCACCTTCATCTGCAGGTGGAATAGCTGTGTGTCCCCATCCTGCTGTGTGAGGGTCACCCACCAGGTAACTGCCAAGTGAGAAAATGTGGTTGTGCATTTTCTCTCCAGTTAGCTCCAAGAATCTGCACATAATGGTTTGCCATTTCTGAAGGCTTGTTGCACTTAGTTTCTGATGGATCATCTTCTGTTGGCTGTGCCCTCCAGTGTGCAGTGGGTGACTCAGCTGCCCACCAAGGCCTCAGTGCTGCTTTGATCCAAGGGTTCAAAGATTATTTTGTACACATTACTGTTTCCCCTCTTTAAGTCATGCAGGGATCTGTCCTGGTAGCTGGTAAAAAAAAAAGATTTAAGCAGCTACACTTCAGTGTGGATGAGCATGAGGCAGTGAAGGAAGCTGGGCCATGTTCTTTGTGGTGTCCACATCCTTCATTTATTTTGTGCTACAAGGCACAATCTAAAATCTACTCAAGGCACAGTATTGAGAAAGCTTGAGTTAAGAGAGATGGTGAATGTAGCAAATTTAGGGCTCTGATCTCACTAAAGTCACAAACCTGGTGATACCTGTAACTCTGGAACCATGCTGTTGGGCTGCTGTGGTTGATCACTAGTGGAGATCCAGAGATGCAGCAGAAAATAAGGGGGCATAAACACAGATAAGCTTCCTCTGCCATTGCTGTTGAGGTTTTGTACCTGTGCTCACCCTCACACCATCTGGCAGTAGGGTGATTGCCAGCACAACACAAAAAAACAAGCCAACCTTTTTTATGTTGTTGCTGCATTAGAAAAGTAAGAGCAATAGCTTGTACAGGCATGAAAAATTGGGTCAAAGATTAGTTTATCAGAGCTGGTTAGGAGGCACCTGTGAGCCACAGGGAGGAGGACATGGCTGCTGGAGCCCCTCTTCCTCCATGCTGTGCATGGGTGGCACTGGGCAAATGTCTGAGCAACTCGTTTCTTTGTGCTTTGTGAGTGTGAGAGCACAGGCAGGTAAAATAAGCTGCTGCAGACATTTTACAAATGAATGCCACCTCCCCCTGCAGTAAAAGCACCTACCCTTCTTTGCTGCACAGGTTTTGTGGGCTTCCCATGAGCAGGAAGAGCCAACTCTGCCAGGAGAGTTGCATTTTTAATGCTGCCGAGATGCCCCGGGAGCGCGTCTCAGCGCAGCCTGCAGTGCAGGGGCTGGAGCTGCTTCCTGCACCCCAGCCCTGAGGAGCCCAAACTGGTGCTGCTGGCGTATTTTCACTCAGGTCCCATGACTGGGTGCTGGATCTGGCAAACTGGAGCTGAGCCGTTGCTGGTTCCCTCAATTAGGAAGGCTTCCTGACTTTTGTTTAATCCCTCGCTTATTAATGGCGCTCACCTCTTTGATCAAAGATCAGCACTGATTTCAATTAGGGTTGAGCAAGAACTCAGTGACAGGAAAGGCAGTATCAGGAGGAGCAGCTGCTGAGCCCTCAAGGGTTTCTTCATCCTCATGACCAAAATCTATAGTCATAGGTGAAGCGTAGTTGTTCCCAACCAAGCTGGAGAAAGCTCTCGTAATCCTTTGCTGGCAAAATAGCTCTGCTGGAATAAAAGCAGGCGGCACTGACTGCCTGGGGAGCTCCAGTTCTTCCCATCTCGAGCACAAGGGAGGGACCAGGCCCTTCCTACAAAAGGGTGAAGCCAGGAAAAGATAAGCTTTGGTTTCACTTTTGAACCACGCTGTCAAGTGGGATATCTCTGGGGTGAGTAACTATACCTGTATCTGCCCGGGGTTTTCAATGCCTGTGTCTTTGTTAACTGCCTGTTAGAGGGAGGGCTCTTCCCCTGAGAGCTGCAAAGGTGCATAAAAACTTTAAGAGATCAGGACAACCAAATAACAAGCAAACTAGAGTTTCTAGAGCAGTGAATGATGGGATGGATCCTCAAGGGGAATAAGTAACACAAGTATCTTTTGGAGAGATATGGGGGAAAAAAAGGGAAGCAATGGATTTACCAAATATTTGCAAAGCCACAAGAACAAATTCCGAGCTATTGTCTGAGCATGTGCCTGTGGGGAACAGAAGACAACTATTTAAATACCACATTTTGTGGTGTGATAATGCCTTGATATTCTCCTGACTATGTTGATAAAAACTAGGGACTACCAAAAGCAGCGGGTAAGAGTTGCATCAGAGTACACCAAAGCAGTGGGAAAGGAGAGAGGAAGCCACACCAGGAGGAGACAAGTGGCTGGGTGTCAGCCAGGGGTACAGGGGTACGTGGCTGCCTTTGGCCAACTTCACTAGAAACTTCTGCTTTGCAACCCAGCAACATCAGAAACAAGCAAAGGGCATGGCAGGGCCAGGCTCTTTATGTTGTGGAAACAATTAATAGAAAAGCTGCTGGCTAGCAAATACATGCACCTGCTACTGCAGAGCTGCATCACTCATCAGCAACACCCACAAAACCTTTGAGATGTGTCTCTTCCTAAAGTGACTGGCTTCTGGAAAGGCAGACATGTGGGATGTTGAAATGGCAGAGTGGCACATGTGGTAACTGTGTTGGTAGCCTAGAAGTGGTCAGGGTAGGAATAAGAGATGGTGCAAAATGTGTCAGGGGCATCTCCTGAGCATTTGCAGCCACATGAATAAATTAGAGAGATGTGTTCTGGTATAATTTTCCCAGCTGCTGTCCTTCCTGTGCCACTGATGATCCAACACTCAAGCTGCTTGCCCAGCAAGCTGCACGTTTGGTGTTTTCATTGCCAGCAAGGTGAATTCTTTGTCCCTCTGCCTCACTTGGTTTTACGTAGCTGCAGCCTGTGACGGGGAAGTCAAGTCACCAGAAGTGAAAAGCTGTGTAGAAAATGTGGTTTTCTCCTCCAAAATCCATTTAAAGAAAATGCTTTGGGAAATATTTTGTAGAAAACAAGATAACTTATATTTCTCAGTTGTTTTTTTTTTCAGCTGAAAATTAATTTTCAGTGAAAATTATCATAAGCCAGAATTTTCCTTTTGGATATGTCTTCCAGCTGAAAATGCTGTGGAATACATGCATATTGTTATACTTGAACCTCCCTTTGAAAGCAGCAGAAGCTGAGGGTTTGTGCAGAGATGAGCTGGAGCCTTTGGGGGCCAAGGAAAGCTCAAAAGGGTCCTCAAGGCACCCAGAATCACGTTGTGTGTAATAGAGTGATTTTGGAAGGAGTTTGACTTGGAAATATACCTGGCTTTTTCCCTAGAAATATTTTAATTTGTTTATGTCTTAGGGCTGTAATTTTTTAATCTCTGAATGTGGATTGATGGTGACTATGGTAGGATAATACATCTGTCTTGTCTGCTTGCTTATCAGGGAAACATGTTCATCCCATGAATCATTTGAACATCAAATTACAGTGTTCATTAAAGTCTTTCATGAATAAGGAAATGCATTGTTCCTGCATGCTGGACTGGGGCTGATTTCTCCCAAGTGGCTTCTGCCCTTGCTGAGTGTGGCCCTGTCACCAAAACTCTGGTGGTCACTCTGGCTCAGTGCCCAGCTTGGTCCCTGTCCCCATGGCAAGCCTGCCTTGTCCCCACCTTGCTGGCCCTGCCATCACCTCCCTCTGCTGAGCAGGGCTGCCTGGGAGAAGGCTCTTGGCATCTCCCACCTTGGCCTCCCACAGACAGAAAAAGAAGGCAAATGCCAAAGAAGGAGGAAAATAAAAGCCAGGCAAGACATCACCATCCTGCAGCATTCATGGCAGTGGCTGAGAGTGCCTGGTAAAAGTCCTGCCCTGTGTGTGCTACAGGCAGCAGCTTGGAGCTTTTTGCCAAAGTGGGATCAGGCTTTGCATGCTCGAGGTGAGGAGCCCTGGGACTTCACACACAGGAAGCTTGTGGCACAGCTGGGAGTAGGAGCCAAGTCTTAAAGATGATAATAGGCCTTAATCACAACAATATTTTTTTCTTTATCAGAATACTACAAAACCCTCCCTCGCATCTTTCATTAACCTTCCCTTTTCAGCAGCCTAAATTTTGGAAGGCTGAACTAGCCCTTGGGGCAACTGAGTGGTGCAATGCCTCAGTTTCCCTCTCACACTCTCCCGACATGAGAAAAATACTGAGCAAGGATTTTTCTCTATCACATGTCCTGCTGCTGGCACTGCAAACCAGACCATTCAGAAAGGCTTTGGTCCCTGCCTCATCATTCATGTGACTGCTGACTGAATACAAAATGTAAAGGGTTACCTGCTCCATGCAGATAACATCAACTGGTGCACATTTTTAACCGTCGCTGAAAACAGCAGCCAGTTTCATTGGACCAGTGCTGGAAAAGAGTCACCAAGCCAGGGCTTGCAATATTTTCCTCAGCAGGTGCGTTGGTGGGATGAACTGCAGAGTCTCGTATGGGTGTCCTCCAGCTTGGTAACGATATTCAGCTGTTTGACTGAGGGAAAAAGGGTTCTTAAAATTCTCTGGTTTACGCAGATGGTTACTTGAGTGTACATTAAAAGTTTTAGCTGTCTGCCTGCTTATTTGAAGGGTCAGTTTGACATTAACAATGACATGATGTGTGTTTGCACGGGGGGGAGAGAGGGAAGGAAACAGCAAAAAACCACTTTTAAGGTCAGTCATTCATTTGTATTTTACCTGTATCTTTTTAGGGGTACTGAAATGACCAACTTTTGAGCAGATGATTTGAAAAGGGATGTGGACAGAGGTCTAGAAAGGCTCTTTTCAAATGGTTGCCAGAGAGAGGGTTTAGTTTCTAGAGCAGAGAGGATGTTTTTACATTAATTTTTTCTTCCTAACAGGAAAATTTTGTTATGGTCTCCAAATTCTGATAACTTTTACCAGTAAAACAGGTTAACAATTTAACTTGGAAAATGTTTCAGTGACACCTGTCCGTCCCTTGTGCATGAGTCCAGGAGGCTGCAAAACCAACAAAATGTTGGAAAGAGGATATAGGCAGGGTGGATGTGGTGATTTTTTCTGCAGGGATTTTGCTTTGGGTGATTACAGAAATATTTGGTGATTTTTGCTTGGAATTTCTCATCTTTCCTTGCATGCTCATCTCTGATGGGTCAGTGCTGTACCAAGCAGGGTGCAAGGTGCCACAGACAAAGGTGTCCAGGTGGCAGGATGCTTGGGGACTGATTATGCTGGGAGATTTTGAACTGGGTTTTTGGGGGTCTTTTCCTCATTTTTCCCTCTGAGATGCTGTATTTGGTGAAATGTTACTGCTGCATAGATCCCTGGGGTGCCAGCAGGGAGGGCATGGCAGGAAATTAGCAGAAGAGCACTGAGCAGAGGGGGGACAGGGACTGGGTAGGACAGGGCTGAGTCCCTCACAGCTTGTGGGGACTCTTTTGGAGGCAATGCTGCCAGTTAGGGTTGGATGGTCCTTCCTGTTAAAAGCCTCCATTTTCAGCTGCTAGTAAAAATTAGTGAAAGCTCAGCTAGCAAAACACAGACCTTCCCTTCTAATTGCCCTCTTCTTAAAAGCAGGGAGGGGTGAGGATGATTTGAGCCACAATATTCACCAGTATGGGAACCTCCACAGCTGGAGTGACACACAGGAGTTATTTCTGCGGCAGAGGGGAGGGATGCTGGGGCTGAATGTGCACTCAGGGAAGGTGGGTGTGCTCTGAGGGTCCATGGGACAGGGCAGGTCTCTGCAGCATCACTGGGGGAACACGAGAGGAGGAAGCAGGCAGCTGGTGCAGGATGGTTTCTCGCTTGCCTGTGCCTTGTGAAAGAGCTGGCAGTGGTGTGATTGTGTACTCCTCACGTGGCGTGTGGGATGGGTCTGTGAATCAGTATTTCACCACTGCTTATCTGCCAGGCCCCTGTTTTGGTGTTGCAGAAGTTGAACAAGGGACATGTAAATGAAAAGCGAGCTGGTGGGAAAAGAAAGGTTTTATAAGGCTCAATGAAACAGCTGACAAGACAAATATGCACTGGCTGCTGCAGATCTGGAGCCTTTCTGCCTCTGCAGGAGCCGCAGTGTTGCCGGGCTGCTGCCGAACTCCTGTTTTCCCACAGGGGTGAGAACAGCTCTGTGCTTCCCAGGCCATGGTACAATAAAGTCAGTATTGTGTCTCCAAGCCTCGGGTCCCACATATGGCAGCCACATGACACAAAGCTTTAACCCACAAGAAACTCACTCCTCCAGCTCAAGCACTGTTTAACAGGTTTCTGGAGGTTAAAACTTGGCATCTTGCTGTGTATCTTCATTTATGCTTTAGATGCTCTTTTCCTGCGTGGAACACCTTGCTGCCCAGCCTCTTGTGGCCAGGGTATTTTGGAAGGGAGAAGGATATATTTGATAGATGGGTTGTTTGAAACTTGGTGATGTGACTCATTGCAGGAAAGATCCCATGTCCCTCAGCCCTGGCATTTCCACTCACAGTGATTGACTGGCTCTTCCCACGTATTTTGAAGTGCATTAATGCTAATTAATTATTTGTACACCTTATCACCGGCTCACCTACTAGAAAACAATAGCCACTTGAACACAGTAATCCCTGGGACTGATGTTATGTCAGGGATTGGCTGCCTCCCAAGAATTATCTCCCAATCTGTGGAAAAAATGTGCTGAGGCCAGTGGGTGCAGCAGCGGAGGCGGCTCCATTAGGGGTGACTGAGGCACTGAGTGGGCCCCTTTCTTTTGTAAGAGCTCAATGTGGAGCTTATTGCTCACTTCCCACCCCACAGCAAGGTCAGGGAAGGGACAGGATCTGGGTTTTTGAGGACATCAGTGGGTACTGGATATAAAACTGATGGGTTGTGCACCATGTGTGGGTGTCAACCAGCTGTGGCTGATTGACTGATGTCCCTGCAAGCACCCTGCTGCAATGGGGACAGGGGAGCCAGAGCATGAACAACTTGTGGCAGATGCAGGCATATGGAATGGGAGCTTCACTGGTGGCTTTGGCCCCCCAAGCAGCGGCTGGGCTTAATTGCACCCCACAGCTTGGCATTGGGTAAAATTTGGAGTGTGCAGCAGGGGTTGGAGATGAAGCTGGGGCACTGAGGAGGTTGATGAAGAGGAAATGCTTAGAGGGAAAACAGAGCAGTAGAATTTCAAAGGCAGGAGCCTTCCTCAGTATTTGCATATTCTCACTGACTTGGTGTGGGAACGGGCATTTGTTGTGTAGTGGCTTCTGTGGCAAAGCGGAGTGGGTGCTGTGGGTGTGTAAATGTCTTCCTGTGGAGGAAATCAATTCACTTGTGTTAGTAGGGCAGAGCCTTGATTTTCCACAAAAAGATTGATCCACCACTCATTGGTGCTGCTGCCTTCTGATCCCTCCCTATGGTCAGGGAGACCCTTAGGATCACGGATCCCCAGACAGCAGCTTGGTTCCAGCCTAGGGCCATAGCCCAGCACTCCTGTGCCTGGAGGCAGGTGCCTCATCAGCAGCTGTGGCTTAGGAAAGTTTTGGTAAGGAGGAGTTTTGGCACCTCAAGCTCTGTTCCAGCCATGAGGCCATGGAAACGTCATAAGAACCTCCTAAATTACTTTGTCATGTGGCATTTGGAGTGCTTTGCTATTTACAACCTCTGCTTTTCCATATTGTAGGCATGAAAAAATTCACATGACAGCTTTTAATTACATCCATTATTAACTTCCCCTCAGACCATGTCTTCCTCCATCAAAATCGAGTCTGTTGTGAAGGAGAAGAACCGGATGGGAGAGTGCCCAGTCTGGGAGGAAAGGGAGAATGCACTTGTCTACGTGGACATCAACTCACAGAAAGTTTGCCGCTGGAGCCCGGTCACCAACGAGGTGCAGAGTGTGTCTGTGGGTAAGAGTCCACACTCACTGCTTCATCCTGGGACTCTGTCCGTCCCATCCACCCCTCCTGGTAGGAGTCCTGCAGGTTGGTGGTCTCTCATGGGATCACACTCCCTGTCTTCTCACAATGTGTTGCTGAGCACAGTGTGGCCTAAGCCAGCCAAGTAGAGTGCACATGCTGCCCCTGATAAGCCTAATTGGGAATGCATGCTTCATTTGGGACCTGCAGAGGAAAAGGTACAGTCCTAATGGCCGTGCCCTCCTAGGAGGTGGAAAAATCCATGGAACACGGAGCCAGTGAGATGTGCTAACAATCTCAGGGGAGAAGGATCTCAGCATCAGCTCAGCCTTTTCTGGCCAGGGATGTCCTGGTCAAGCCCAGACACCCTCAGTGAGGGCCGAGTGACGGCCCCAGACCCAGAGCTGCCCTTCATCTTCTGCTCCCTCTCCCCCACAGATGCCCGTGTCAGCTCAGTGGCTCTGCGGCAGTGTGGGGGCTATGTCATCACCCTGGGCACCAGGTTTGCCTTCCTGGATTGGGACACCCAGGAGGTCACCACCATCCTCGAGCTCGAGCAGGATAAACCCAACAACAGGTTCAATGATGGGAAAGTGGATCCAAAGGGGAGGTTTTTTGCTGGTAAGTTCCTGGCAGAATTTCCCCTGGATCAAAGGGAACTAATTATAGTGTATTTTATATAAGGCATTTTTATTTATTCCCTGTCTTGTGAATGCTCTGCTTGGTTACTGCCCAGTGAAGGAGGACAGGGTACTCTACACCTTCTGACCTAGATGAGGACAGATGCTGCTGACAGGGGCCATCTGACAGAAAGGCTCCCCTCCTTGGTGGAAGGTGTTTTTCAAACAACTACCTTCATGGAAAAGCCAGTGAAGGGCTCATGTAGGTAGGATTTTTTCTGGAAATGTAGAGAAGGATGCAGCTTCTAGAGCAGAATATGAGCTGCAGCTTGCACCCATTATGTTCAGCCTCTCTTGGTTAGCCTGTGAAAAACAAGGATATGGGGGGGAGATCCTCAGCCTCCTGAAGGCAAGAAGGAGGTTTAGGTTGTACATTGAGTGAAAGGTCTTCACCCACCTTTGTGGTGGTCAGGCACTGGAACAAGCTCCCCAGGGAAGCAGTGATGGCACAAAGCCCGACGAAGTTCAAGAATTGTTTGAACAATGCTCTCAGGCACATGGTGTGCACCTGTATTTTAATGGTCACAGCCCATTTAAATTATGAAAGTAGCCTACAAAGAGCAACAACAAAAACAGCATATGATTGATGCCTGCCTGCATCTCAACTTCTGCTGTGAGCAAAAGCTCATCCCCCTGGGGCATGTCCTGGTGGTCCTTTGGGTCTTTGATGTCTATGACTTAAACCTCATGGCAATGCAGGAACATCCTTTCATTGGCCAGGATCTGCTCTGTGGGAGGCGGCTGCCCTTGATCTGCTCCTTTTGCTCTTCCTCATCAATCTGACATGACCTATTAGTCCCTTTCACCATAGGATTGCTGAATTGTAGAATCACAGAATGATGTGTGTTGGAAGGGACCCTTAAGACCATGTAGTTCCAACCTCCCTTTTGAGGGCAGAGACACCTTCCACTAGATCAGGTCGCTCAAAGCTCCATCCAACCTGGCCTTGAACACTTCCAAGGCATGGGATATCCACAACTTCTCTTGGCAACCTGTTCCTGTGCCTCGCTACCCTCACAGGAAAGAATTTCTTCCTAAAAATATTTTCTTTTTAGGAAGAATCACAGGAGAATCACAATCCTGTGATTCTCCCTAGAACCTCTTGGTAACACTTAGAGGAGGTTTCTGATCAAACACGAGGAACAAGCTTCTACTTTCTAACCAGTGCTCCCACTTCCATTTTTCCATTTCAGGCACGATGGCTGAAGAGACGGCGCCAGGAGTCCGAGCGAGGCGGCAAGGAGCTCTCTATACCCTCTTCCCTGACCACTCAGTAATAAAACAGCTAGACCAGCTGGACATCTCCAATGGGCTGGATTGGTCCCTGGACCACAGAACCTTCTTCCACATCGACAGCCTGTCATACGCCATCCATGCCTTCAGCTACGATGTGCACACTGGAAAGATTGGTACACATGTTTTAAATTTGGTGACGATTAGTGCCACTGCTCTATCTGCAGCAGGATCTGGGCCTGTGGGATGCAGGACATGTTTATTTGACAGATTCCATATCTTCTGGTTACAGTTTGTCAGCTGGCTGACTGTGATATTCCCCAAATTTACTCAGCAGGCGTATTTGGTGAACAAACTTTTGACAGTGTTTCAGCTTTCTTTCATCTGGAGAGATGGCTCATACTTAGACCTGTTCAAGGAATTGCAGAAAGAAGTCATTTACACTGCAGAATGAGAAAGAGCTTTTAGGATAGTATTTATTCTTGAGTGCCATCTACTGGAATTCCTTTGATTGTACTAGCTCCATAAATACAAGTGGAGAATGTGCATGTATGTATTTCACAGAAAGGTTTTCAGAGGATCAAGCTGCCATTGTGACAGAGTTTTCCCAAAAAAATTTCTGAAATTAAGATGTTTTCAAATTTAACTTAAATTCATTCTATGGATAAACATTTTTTATTGTATCTTCAAGGAACTAAATTTAAGTATAAATGGATCTAACCTCATTTCCTATAAATGGATCTAACCTCATTTCAAAACTCTTTGAAATATTTTCATGCTGCATCAAGCTGATATACTCCACAGGACTTTAAATGTCTGAACTGTCTTTGTACTTTAAAGAGGGCAGACTTTGGGTAATCATAGATGAAAATCACACAAAATAATTGCATTCACTCAGATTTCATTTTGTTGAGAACATCTCTTTCTACAGATTTTAGGATATAAGATTTCAAAAGAGGATATAATGCAACATTTCCTCCTGCAAATGTAAAAAAGTAACATTTGAGTTTCCTAGGCTTGGCTTTTTGTCCACAGCTGTCTATTCTTGGGTAGTGTAATGACCAGAAGGTGCTGGGTGGGTCACAGCAGGTGATCCATGACCCATGGGCCCTGCTCCATGGACCAGACGTGCTCACCAACATATCTTCACTGCATCCCTGACCATGAGCTGGTGTCCAGGTTTAATCAAAACTGGTTGCTTGGCTGGCCATTAAAAAGTAAATTTTTTTATCTTTAGCTTGGAGAGATTGCTTATCACCAACGTTTAAATGCAGGTAATTATTTATGTGACATGACCAATAAAGGTCCGGGAAAAGTTACTGCACTTGCAGCGGTGGTGTTGTGGCAGGCAGCAGGTGGGTTAACAAGAGTGATGGGGGCATTTTGTTCTCTTCTCTTGGTAAAATAACAGGAGCACTAATTTGGTACAATCCCAGACTGAAATGTCTGTGCTGGGGACTTGTCTCTGCCAGGCTGGATTAGGCTTTTAACACATCTGCAGAATGCAGGTGTGATGTACATTTTGCAGCATGTCTTTCTCACAGAAAATGAATGCAGCTGTTTGCAAGGGCATGGAAGAGGTTAGCCTGGGATCTGATACACAATGGGTAGCAGCCCACATAACATCAGCTTTGTAACTCTCCCTGCAGCCTGCCCCAAGCTTTTGTACCATCTGGAAAAGGAGGAGCAGATGCCTGACGGGATGTGCATAGATGCAGAAGGGAAGCTCTGGGTGGCCTGTATTGATGGTGGCAGAGTCATTCGCATCGACCCGGAGACAGGTAAGGCCTCCACTAGTTTGTGCATGTACATGTGAGGGCAATGGCAGCAGGGGGAATGGTTTGAAGGGGAGATAAGGTGAAAAGAATTGCCCATTTCTGCCCCATGGATTGCCAAGAGCATGGCTGGCTCAGGCTGTGATCATGTAAAGAGTGCAGCTCCCTGTGCTGCCTCCAGTGTCAGGTACCCCTGCCCCATCGTTGGCTGATGAAATGCACACTCGTCTTAATAATACCACTATCAAAAAATCCCCCACAAAATGCTGCATATAACATTTCTCAGCATTGAAATGTTTAACTAGAAAATGCTTTAAGGAACTACATCCATCCCAAGCCAGGTGTCCCTGCCCTTCCTGACCTCACACACAGTACTGCTTTGTTTTGAGAAAAGGAAATGAAGCCTCGCAGATGCGGAGGAGAGCCTGAAAAATAGTTAGAGATGAGGCAGATGAAATAATTTGGTTTCCCCACAAACTGTCCTTTAGGATGTGGTCTCTCTCTGAAAGGGAGGTGCCTTCTGAGTAATGTCACATCTGTGCCATGTGTACTAATAGTATTCATAATTACATGCTTCCTAAAAAATAAACATTAGAAAACAATTGCACATTTTTCCCAGGAAAAAGAATCCAAACTGTGAGGCTGCCTACTCCAAGGATCACCTCTTGCTGCTTTGGTGGAAAAGACTACTCAGAAATGTACGTGACTTCTGCATATGATGGACTGGACGAGGCCACCTTAGCCAAGGAACCTCATGCAGGAGAGATTTTCAAGGTGAGCAGATTTTATTTCTTTCTTTGTGTACATCAGACCTGCCAAGCCTCATGTTCTGGGAGTGAGGTGGCCCCGGCTGCCCTTGCTCATCACACTCACCTCATAAGCTGCTCCAGGTGCATGGCTTGTCCCCCAGCCAGGCCCAGCTGCTTTTACAGAGCTGCTCATGCACTTGGAAGGAAGACTTGGAGAAATTACAAGTTATAGTGTTGATATCTGGGTTGGCCAAAGTTGACTGGTCAAGATCTGGAGGCAGTGAGTGGGTATGGATCTGCCATATGGATAGTGTGTTCTGTAATAGGAAGGAATTCTGTAATTCTGTTCTGTAATTCTGTTCTGTAATTCTGCAAGGAATTGCTTTTATCTCTTACTATAATTTAATCCCTTTTGCAAATTTCATTCTCTTACTTCTCAGTTTTTAATTGTGCCAGGAAATCTAAATGTTTACAGAACATATTTCTCCTTTATGAATTAAATGTTTAAATTTACTAGGGCAAAATTTTGCGTCTCAATCTGAAAACTTTTAGAATTTTTTTTTTGTCTGTTAAACATTGTGACGATTTGAAGAAGTTTTGAATGAGTTAGAAATGGGATTTCTGAGTTGTTTTAGATAATGTGATTTATTTTTTTAATCTTCTGTATTGGTAGGAAGGGTGAGTTTGGTTCACATCTTCACCACATGGTTTAGAAGGTCATGAGACTTTTAGTTATAAGATCTTCTAAGGATTTATTAACTAATGAAACACTGTTAACAAGGATATTTATGTTTTTGATTTAATCTTTAAATATTTCTTCTTATGGATTCATGTTACAGTGTAAGCTTTCTTAGGTAATCATGTTTTGACATATAAATCTATAATACTCTATTTTAAAATTCGAAACTTTCCCCTACTTAGTTTAATGTGTCTGTACTTTAAACTATAAATCCACATTCTCATTCTAGCACTAAAGTTTGGAAACCTTTTCTAAGGTGTCAAAGCAAATTCTGTGTTTAATTCTAAGCTTTGCCTTACAGGCCTAAAATTCTGGGAATTCCCTGCTTTTCAGATTCCAACAAAAAAAGATTGCTACTTTTTAGAAAACATTTTTGTCTGGGGCTCTTGAGTCTGGAACTTGCTTCTCTCATCATTTTTTTTCCATTAGCAAAAAGCACATCAGGAGAATAAAATGCAGTTCTTACTCAGCAATTGCCATCAACCCAGACCAAACTCTTTTATCAGTCTGGCCACAGGATGAAGACATATTACAGGAGGGATGGAAATCTTTTCTGGGATCTGGGACACTCCTGTTGGAAGCAGTGCTTAGAGCAGATATCTCATGGCTGAGAACTGATATATTCAAGCATCACAGTTTAGAAGCTCACAGGAGGATTAAATAAGCATCTTTTTGGTTTTGTTCTTGGGTTCTCCAGTTCCACAAGGGAATTGGTGTTTTCCAAACTCACATTGTCTTGCATGGGCAAAGCATGTTAAAAATTACTATGAATTGTTTTGAAGATAAGGACTACATACAAAGGCCACAGATAACATTTCAATTAGCAAAATTATTGAGTAGTGCTTGATAATCTTAGTGATCTCAAGGAGTTTGGAAGAACTCCAAGTCGTGACTCCTTTAGGGCTCCTCTTGAAGCAGGAGACCCTCCACGTAGTAGTCTGCTGCTATGGCATTTGCTCTACAATGTTTGAATGTTTTCATTATATTATCTGTTTCCTTTCTTTTATCTTTTAATTTTTAATTTTTTAAAACAGATAACAGGCCTGGGTGTGAAAGGGATCCCACAGAATTTCTATGCTGCTTGAACCTTGACACTAAACAGCAAAGAAGGAACGCTTCCATCTTGTAGTAAATCTGACTGGAAGAAGTCGAATGAACTACAGAATTTATTTGTGTGAAGAGTTCTAAGCCCACATTTGTGAGTGTGCTTGTTTGGAGTTGAAGATATTTCTCCTTCTGTGGGCCTGTGGCTTGATGCAATAGGTTAGAGGGGTAAAGTTAATCTGTGTTACACCTTGGTAGCTTTTGTGACTTTCCATAAACCTTTAAATGCTCAAGCATAGTTTCGCTGAACTTTCTGATGACCAGCTCTGGATTTTCAAGTCTGTGCAGTTCCCAAAGCAGAATCTGACTCCTCATGTTACAGTGACGCACCAGAAACGATATGGCAGATTTTAATAAACATTTTAAAGAGTGATGTCTTGAACTGGACTGTTCCTCTGCTGCAAGATTCCCTTGAGTTTGCTTTTGTTTTTTGCTTTTATTTGTTTTTCCTTTAATGATCAGTCCTATTTGTAGTATCCAGGTTCCATTTTTCCATCCTCATTAGCCTTTTTCCAGGCTGTCCTGTCTTTAGGACACCCATTAGGCTGCTGAAAATAAACTACACAACTACATTTAAAAAAATGCTTACAGATGTTTTTTCCTCTGCATGCAGATGTTACGTTGAAAACACTGCATGACCACACACAGGCTGGGAGCCACCAGGACAGCCTGGAATACCAAACATGGATGCTTGGTGGAGTTGTCCTTTCAGGGGTGATATTTACACACACACACGCACACAAACACAAACTTCCCTTTGCTTTACAAACTTAATGTATCCACGGCCTCACCATCTTGTTCCCCTTTCTTCTGGGGCTCATCCACTCCCATTTCAAGTATTTTTCCCCTTTTTCCCTTTAGATCCTCCCCTCCTTTCTCCTCCAGAAGGCACAACACCAAGGTGTATTTTTATAGGCTGTTTAAATAACGATCCAGCTCTACCCTGGACTCACTGAACCCTGGTGATCCTTTCAGGATCTCAGAATGCTCGAGGCCTGCAGACGCACAGAGAAATCCAGCATTGAGTTTGCTATCTTTTTGCTGCCTGGAAAGAGACACAGCATTTTAAAATAACACTTTTTCAGATCTTTAATGCTGACACTTTGTAATGTTGCAAAGAAGACAATAATCCGCATCATTTACCAGACCAGATGTTTCAGTGTCTTCCTCTGAGGTATTTGACCTTTTCACCCCTGCTATTCAAAGCCCTCAGACACTATGAGTAGGGAGAAAGTACTCAGTGCCTCATGAGGATAATCTCCTCCAAAAACCCATGCACAGGGGAGCAGGGGAACTGTGGTTAGCCATGCAGAAATATTAAACACAGTTTCCATGGGGCTCTACACAGATTGCCTCTAAAATTAGCTGTTTTCTCCAAACCCAGCATCCCTCTCCCAGCCAGGGGTCCCTCACAACAGTTTTGAAAGAACTAAACTGAGTTGATTTTTTTCCTTTAAAAATACCCATATTGCCCAACTCTCTTATGTGGTAGCCTTCTGGCCTGCTGGCATGTAGGAGATCTGGTACTGAGATCTGGTCAGGCAGGGGGTGACCCGCCACATGTCCTAGGAAGCCACAAGCCACATGTCCTAGGAAAATGTACCCATTTCAAAGGTGACAGGAGAAGGTTAGGTGGTGTCTCTGACCCCTCAGCAGAACTGGGCCACAGTCCAGAAAGAAATCTGAGATCCAGAGGACCAGGAAGGGAGCTTTATTCCCTAAGTACTATTGAATATACAGGATTTTCCAAAGTGCATTATTTCAATGCAGTTACCTGAAGTCTGCTAAAACCCATGTTAGATGTTTTTCAGACATTTACTGTAGATGGTTACTTTAGATCATTAGTGAGCACTTTGCTCCTGGGCTGCTTGACCAGATCATTTGTATAACAGGATGAAGGGGCTTAGCCTATCACTCCTACCTTTTACCCTGGAAGGGAGGTGAGTCCCCGGAGCTGCACAGAGACAACTTGATTGAGAAATAAAAGATTCAGCTTATTGTAATGTTTGCTCAACAAATAGGCTGTTGTTTTTCCTCCTAAGTCATAATTCCAGCAGTAATTAAACTGCTGGGGGTTCTTAAGAGCAAAGGTGCTAAATGCCTTTTGGCACCATGTCAATGCCAAACTGGTACAAGGAAAATGGAATTATGCAAGATTTCCTGTTTACCCCATCTGGAGAGGAATGTGGTGGCAGAGTGTTTGGAGGCAAGTCAAGTGTCCTAACCTTTAATTAAAAAAAATGTAGGAAGTGAGTGCAGATACTTCATCTAGCAAAAAATATCCAGTTACTTGCAAAATTGCCTAGCTATTAGATCCTTTGCTCTGCCAGAAAAGCAAAGTAGATAAATTTGAAACAATTTACACTTGAGAAATACTTACCACCCCTGCAATATTTTTTTTTTGCTAGAGTTTTCCCAGGCATGGGAAAGCTGGGGTTGCAGGTTTGCTCTTCTCCAGCCACTCCTTCCCCCATTTCTAGAGGGAGACATGGTGTGTTCTGCTCTCACATTCCAAGGTCTGGGTGCTTTGGGAACTCTCTCTTGTAGTACAGCTTCTTAAACCAAAAAAGCCTTGAAGATAGACGAGTTTCTCTGTGCTACCCAAAGGCCCACTACTTTGCTTTTCCTCACATTTCAGAAGTTGCTGTTTGGTGAATTTGCTTTCTAAAAGACAGTGCTAATTGAAAACCATGTTGGGGCTCAGTTCACCAAGCAAGTTCACCTCAAGGCAAGGGATGAAGGCATGAAGGAAACAGGTACAGGAGTGGGTTTGTTCCTTTTGTGCATGTAGGGAACAGTAGGTTCCATAGTCCTTGCTGAGGGCACACTCCGAGCTGGTTACTCAGTGGCTGAGCGCTTGGTTGGGGCAGGTTAGCCCTACATAGGGTCAGCCCTAAGCCATATGCTCCTGCCCAGGGGAAACCTACAGAAAATAAATCAGCTAGTCAACAATATGGCACAGACTGATGGGAGCTGGTTTCCTTTTGAAGGGATTGCTTTGTACATCCTGCCTTTTATAAGTATCTATTATGTTTTATCTATATTTGACCTATACCACACTGGATGACATTAAACTAACAGTATTTTAAGTTAGCCATTCTGTGCTTCACCTTGCGAAGCATATTAAAAATGTGCTGGTGACTGACTGGTTTTGTAAAATTCTCTACCTAACTGCAGCAAAATTTGGTCTGATCTCCCTCTTAGCAACCAGCATTGGTTAATTTTGTTTTTGAAATGCAGCGAACTGGAATAAAAATATGTAAAGGATTTGGAACTTAGAGTGTTTGATTGATACAGGTTGTGATAGCCTGCCTTTGATGCAGCCCAGGACACAGTTGGATTTCTGGGCTGTGAGAACACATTACCAGCTCATGTCCAGCCTCTCATCCACCAGCAGCCTCAAGCCCTTCTTGGCAGGGCTGCTCTTGGTTACTGCATTGTCACTGACCCAGGGTCTTGCAGATAATCTGTGTCGGGAGCAGGAAACCAACACCATCTCTTCAAAGTCAGTTCAGCGATTTACCCGCCACAGAATCAGTGAAAAATAAATTAAATTATGGAGTAATCTGAAATTTGGGGAAGCTTTCCAATGACTCTCTGGGGCTTTAAAGAGAGGAGTTACTTCACTTTTGGCATTACATCTGTATAGTTGTGCCCATGCCAAGCATTTATTTTCCACTACAGAAACTAGAAATGAGAGATTTTTCAAGCCCTCAGATAAAGAATATGTAAATAAGAAGATGTAATATCTTTATTAAGGACTTCAATTTTAGTCTTTAACATTGGAAAGATATTTATTTCACCTTCAGTTTTGCTTTCCTATCAATATCTCTAGTGACAAGAAAGCTTAGAATAATGGAAAATTATTTTGTTCTGCAATGGTGCTAGCTTGCTGTTTTCATTTTCTCTTAAAAACCTTTCCCTAATTCTGCTTTCCCAAAGGAAGGGTAGTGCATGGACATCTATTTATATACCTCCAGTGCTGGTATCTTCATCCTGGGTGCCTAGTGATTCTCCCAGTAACTCTCTATATACAAATAAATAAATAAATAAATTTTAAAAATATATTTTTAATAATAAATAAATAAGTTCCCTTCCTAGATGTAGGAGAAATGTTAGATGATTTTGAAGGCCTCCAGTGGGAAATCTACTCCAACTGAAATGAATTTTAAAATTTTGTAATGTCAATAACTAAGTGCTTACTTTTGGTAAATTGGAGCTTTTTGTGAACATCTTCAAAACACCTTCTTCCTTTTATTGCTGACTCATTTACTTGAGGAAGACTGGTTCAACAGGTAAATGCTTAACAATTAGACACAACCAAATCCACAAATCTCAAATAAAACAAGGAAGAATTCTTTGCATGTGGGCCAGCTCCTTTATTTTTACATATCTATATGGTATACAAACCATATTTATCACATACTTTTGACCATCTCTATTAAAATCAACTTGGCATTGATCATTGGTCAAAGATCTCCTATAATTGTTTCTGGTTATGCTAAATTTCATTCTTTTTAGGCTACAAGACCAGACAGGTCAATGACTCAAGGTAGCAAAAGATTCAAGTAATGCTGGAGGGTATAATAAGTTCAAACCTTTCTTATGTGCCTTAGAGGCAGAACTCTGAGATCAGCATACAATAGTCAGAAAGGTTGGAGAAAATATTTATTTATATAGTTTTTAATACTAGCCAGACAAGAAGATTTTCCAGTGATACATTGCCTGAGGATAACAATCCCTAGACAGTGCTAAAATATTCCTTCATTCTGTACTGCATGTACTACCTGTGTACTGAATGTAACATCTTGTTGTCTATTATACAAGAACCAGGTCTGGGGAACAATAAGACTTTAGTGGACATTTTATGTCTTTTTTAAAAGAAAAAAGTTCTAACTGCCACCTCTGCTAAGTTTTGCACCTGTTGACCCACCTCAGTGCAAACTGGATTAAATTATCTAACCAACGTAGCCCCATATTTCTCTTCACAGAGAAAAGCAAGGCACAGTCCTTCCCAAGAATATTTCTGGGATTCACATTCTCTGAACCTCAGAGCAAGAAAACACAATTCTTACCATTTGCTGTGCCTGTGTTTGTTCCAAAGTAGAATGCAATATAGAGATTGTTTACCCAAAGTGATGGTGTTTTGTTTCCTTGGCCTGTCAGGGCCAGCTGTGTGTGTGTGTCGGGACTGCCAGGGGACAGTCATGAGATGCTGTGCAGTGTGTGCAGTTGTCTGCAGGGTTGACTGCTTGGCACATTCAGTTTTAGATGTATAGAATAATATAGTATAATAAAGTAATAAATTAGCCTTCTGATATCAATGGAGTCATCCGCATCACTCCTCCTTTGTTGGAGCCCTTGCAGAATTGCTGTAAACCAGCACCCGTTCTGTGTGAC